GGGGGGCAGGAAGAGAGACAAAGGGAGAGAAAGAGACAGGGGGAGAGAGCGAGAGATAGAGATAGAGAGAGAGATAGAGAGAGAGAGAGAGAGCGAGAGAGAGAGACAGTGTGTCTGCATGTGTGTATATACGAGTGTGTATGTGTGTGTTTACATTTGTGTCTCTGTGTGTGTATGTGTATGTGAGAATGTGTGTGTGTCTGTGCGTGTGTCTGTGTGTGTATGTGTGTGTATGTGTGTGTATGTGTGTGTGTGTTTCTGTGTGTATGTCTCTCTTTGTGTATGCACGTGTGTGTGTGTGTGTGTGTGTGTGTGTGTGTGTGTGTGTGTGTGTTTATGTGTATTAGCATGTGTATGTATTATGTATGCGTATGTGTTTATGTGTATGTATGTGTGTGTACGTGTGTAAGTGTATGGGTGTGCATGTGAGTGCGTGCGTATATATATTTTGTCTGTGTGTGTACGTGTATGTGCGTATATTACTTACGTATCTGAAATAATGAAACAAATTGCGACTAGAGAGAAACAAAGAGACAAATAATAAAAGGGTACAATCATTAGTTAAGAGAGGAGAAACAAATACAGAAACAAAGGAACAAAGAACGAAAGAAACAAAAGGAAAGAAAAATCCGAAAGAAAAAAAAGGAAGAAAGAAAAAAAAGAAAGAAAAAAAGAAAGAAAGAATGAAAGAAAGAAAAATTCAATGAAAGAATGAAAGAAAGAAAAATTCAATGAAAGAATGAAAGAAACTGAAACAAACCAATGAGCACGAGGGAACAGTGAGAGAAGCCAACCACAAGACAGAAATAGAAAGACGCTGTAGAAGAATTGATTAAAAAACAAACAAGCAAAAAAACCCCAAACAAAACAACGTAATAAATGTGTAGACGAGTAACTCAACACAAAACATTGATTGGCCGCTGCACATTCTTACACTGCGTCATAGCTCACAATTAACTGCAGCCAAAGGTGGTCTTAAAAAAAAATAAATGTATGGCTTCTGTCCTCGTGCTTAATGTGAGGCATCGTGGTGAAATCAGGTGCTCGCCAAATTAATGGAATCCAAGAAATCGGCATTTTTTCGGCAAGTTTGGACTGGTTTTCTTTTTCTCTCGAAATTTTGTGCTTTTTAAAATTTATTTATTTTTGCTCAAGACCTTGTATGTCCATTCAAAAACATATTTTTTTTTTGGTGTGTATTCTTTTAGCTAAAAAAAAAGTAAATTTGTCAGTTTCCAATGATTCTTAAGCTATGGAAGTCACCAAATTTTGGCGGCCATTTTCTCGCTAATTTTATTTCTGAAACCAAGCGACCCCACATCCTTCAATCGCAAATATCTCGACTTCTACTCGAGATAAGTGGATTTTTTTTCATCGAAAGCAAGGCAAATGAATAACCTTTAATATGATACCAAAAACTCCAAATGCTCTAAAATTGACGGGCGTCTGATTCCTCTGCGTCGAGACACAAATGATGACTAGCTTTCCTGTGAACTGTGGTGTACGTACAAGTGAGGTTTCTTAATCAATAAGCGCCATTTGCAAAGTCTGGATCCTGTTTTTTTATCGTCCTTATACCCTTGTGCGTTGTCAGTGGATGACAAAGGATAGCAGAGAAAACTGTACCCAAACCGGCAGTAGGCAACGGGAAACCACTGCTGTAATATCCCAAGAATAGTCATGGAAAAGTACATTCATTCATCAGAAGAAAAAAAATTGAGGGCAAGCGAGGCAGGGGAAGGCCCAGAACACCATACTTGGGGAACCTAAACAAATGGGTAACGGGGAAAGATCTGGGAAACGTGGCTTTTTTTTTAGAGCATCCGAGCAAAGGGATGAATGGAGAACAATGATCGCCGATGTCGGTCGCAGATATTCTGGCCCTGGATGATGACCAGGTAATTCATGACTTCAAACAACATAATTCACATACATAGACACACGCGAACACACACGCACAGACCGACGCGATGCAATATGTGTTTGTATGCATGTTTGTATGCATGTTTGTATGTGTGTACGTATATGTATTATGTGTGTATGTGTTTATGTGTACGTATATGTATTTTATGTGAGTGTATGTGAGTATATATCTGTTGGTACGTATATGCTATATTATATATATGTGACGCATGCTGACAAAATGAGTTACTTCTCGCAATCCACAAATGGAGATATTGGCCAAAAATCGATATTAGGGACAAACTTGTAGATTTTCAATTGATGCCATATTCTTTTATTATAACATATCTTTTATTGTTTCATACTTATAAACTGTAAAAACTTCACCTATAAGCGGGATTTATCTATTTTCTTAAGGCTTGAATCAGAGAAGTAACTCATTTTGTCAGCACACTTCACATATATATATATATATATATATATATATATATATATATATATATATATATATATTATATATATATATGTGTGTGTGTGTGTGTGTGTGTGTGTGTGTGTGTGTGTGTGTCTGTGTCTGTGTGTACGTATATGTATATGTGTGTGTATGTGTTTATGTGTGTGTGTACGTATATGTATATTATTATTATACGTGTGTATGCGTGTATATGCGTCAGGGCACATGTGATATGTGTCCACCATACGCTGGATGGAGCCCATCTCGCTACACTGAGTCAATGAACACTCCCCAAATCAGATGGAGGTTGACAAGAGCGATAACTCTCGGCTGACACTAATGCTATCTGCTTTGAGACCGGAAGTCAAGATTTCTCCAAGACCGGACACCTCTAGGGAAACTCGACGCTACACGTCCGGATCTAAAGGCTTAATTTGCATATTAATTAGTAGCTCAAGTAGCAAGGACAAAAGCCAGGGTGGCAATGATAGTAACAGTTGTCTCTCGCTCTGAATCTTTCTCGTTTACTTCTCTTCAATTCTTCCCTTCCATAACTCACCTCCCCACCCACTCCCAAAAAAAAAGAAGATAAAAGAAAAAGGAAAAGAAAACGCACAAATCCTCGTTGGATGAAAAAACAGCGGCTCACACAGACTAACGAGGACAGTCTTCTGTCTGGTTATCTTTCTGACTGGCGCTCACTGAAACGTGTCCTTGACAAAAGATACCTGGCCGCTTTTAAGCGGGCTAATCCAGATGTCGGGGGGGGGGGGGGTTCCAGAAATCTTAACCAATACCAAAAGTGGGCATTGCCCTACCTATAGGAGAAGTTTGGTTTCATTGGTGTGTATATTTGTTTGGTTATAGAGAAAACTCTCCGTGTCTTTTAAAGAAACTGTGTAAGGGTCCACCAACATTACCTTCGATTTTCTCAGAACAGCATTTCTCGGGATAGCTCCTTTGTGCTTAAAAGCGACCTAGCCTATGAATTGGATATGTGTGTGTGTGTGTGTGTGTGTGTGTGTGTGTGTGTGTGTGTGTGTGTGTGTGTGTGTGTGTGTGTGTGTGTACGTATATGTATATGTGTGTGTATGTGTTTATGTGTGTGTGTACGTATGTATATTATATATGTGTGTATGCGTGTATATGTATGTGTGTACGTATACGTATATGTGTGTGTAGGTGTTTGTGTGTGTGTGTACGTATGTATATTATATATGTGTGTATGCGTGTATATGTGTGTGTGTACGTATACGTAAATGTGTGTGTATGTGTTTATGTGTGTGTGTGTACGTATGTATATTATATATGTGTGTATGCGTGTATATGTGTGTGTGTGTACGTATGCGTATATGTGTGTGCATGTGTATATGTGTGTGTACTATCTATTGTGTCCATTGCTCCCAGAAAATCCTCATTAAGTTAGTACAACAGACACATCAACCTATAGACGTGTACAACAGTACCTGAGAATTTCCTCATGAGTCAGTAACACCTCTAATCTTTGGCCAGGACCTAAATAATAACAATATTTTATCTGATCTTATCTTATCTCATCTTATCTTATCTCAGCTTATCTCATCTTATCTCATCTCATCTTATCTCATATTATATTATCTTATCTTATCTTATCTCACCTCATATGATCTTATCTTATCTTATTTATCTTAGATTAACTATTCGGGATGTAAGTGCCGTAAATTTTTCAATAAAACTAAACTAGATCTAGGCTTAATCTTGCAAGTAGGCTGATGTGTTCCCTCTTCCTCACACACTGACACAGCCAAAGAAAACTTGGAACAGATCAGGGACAAAAACAATGAAAAAAGTAGGAATATTTCCATGGTCATGATTGTCTCTTGCAATAAAATAAAGCAATTTCCATTAACTGCATAACTGTTCACTGGAATAAAATAGGAAAATCTACTTCAATTTATTGTCTCCATAAATGAAATAAAATAACTTCCATTAACTTCAATATCTGATACTAGGAATAAATTAGGACATTTTCCATTCACTTAAATTTTTGTCTCCAGGAATAAAATAGAACACTTTTCTCTTTTTTCAATAAACGTTCACAGGAATGAAATAGGAAAATTCCCACTTTCTTCAATAATTGTTTTTAGGCATAACAGAACTGAAATGGGCTATGTTTCTGACATCATGCAAAGTGCCTGCATTTTTTGAAAATACAAAAAAAAAGGTTTTAAAAATTATTTAAAAATATAAAAGAAATAATATAAAGACTCCAGCGGACAAACCAGACAAGCCACATTTTCTGAAATTGGAGAAAATGGGCATTCAGGGTTTAAAATTCTGCAGAAATGTTACAGAAGCATTAACATTAGTTTCTTATTGCTTTACATGCATTGAGTATGACTTAGTTGGGTTAACTGGAGACCCTTTGCCAAGAAGAAAGTTCTGTCATCAAAAGATTGCAACAAATGGAGACACAAAGAATAGAAAGCTCGTGCATTAGAAATTGTGACTGATGGTGTTTTTGTTTTGTTTTGTTTTCCCCCCACCCCCTTTTTTGTTCGTGATTTGTTTACCTCTGGAGTCTCCATACGATGAAGTAAGCTTCTCAAACTGACGATTGAGGAAACATTCAGCTCTTAAAGATATCGCATGGACAGGGAGTTAC